GTGAATACCTCCTTCGATCTCCTGTTCTCACGATATTTTTTGTTTAGGGGTTAATTGGACTTGGTTAAGGATTACATAGGGGCAAAAAAATAAAAGACACTCCATTGAGGTTAATTCGTCTTTATTAAGTACCTGCGGTAAGTGGGCTACTCAGAACTCACCACTTTTTCCTGGAATTTACATTATTGCGAAATTAATGAATTTTTCAAAAAAATTTTTAAGTGTCAATTTTAATTTGATTTGGCGGCATCGTAGTACTGCACCCCAAGAGAGGGAGGGCACCAATGGGGTTGACTGCCCCTCAGCCGACTCGGTACTCCCTTAGCAGTCCCGCTGTCAAAGGGACCAGTCGACAGGATGAATGTTATTTTCTGCGTTACGAAATTGGTATTCACTGAAATTTTACAATTTTATGGAGTCCCTTAAATTTTTTGCCCCCATGTGACCCTTAACCAAATCCACTTAAGCCTTAACCAGGTCGAATTAACCTTTAACCAAATCCGATTAACCCTTAATGAAGTCCAATTAACCCTTAACCAAATCCATTTAAGCCTAACCATGTCCAATTAACCCTTAACCAAAAGTTTTAAAAAAAATTGACGATATTTTTTTAAAAATTTTGGTTAAGGGTTAATTAATTAACCCTTAACCAAATCCACTTAAGCCTAACCATGTCCAATTAACCCTTAACCAAAAGTTTTAAAAAAAATTGTCGATATTTTTTTAAAAATTTTGGTTAAGGGTTAATTAATTAACCCTTAACCAAAAGTTTAAAAAAAAAATTGTCGATATTTTTTTAAAAATTTTGGTTAAGGGTTAATTAATTAACCCTTAACCAAAAGTTTTAAAAAAAAATTGTCGATATTTTTTTAAAAATTTTGGTTAAGGGTTAATTTGACATGGTTAGGCTTAAGTGGATTTGGTTAAGGGTTAATTGGATTTGGTTAAGGGTTAATTGGACCCGGTTAAGGGTTAAGTGGATTTGATTAAGGGTTAATTGGACTTGGTTAAGGGTTAATTGGATTTGGTTAAAGGTTAATTGGACTTGATTAAGGATCACATGAGGGCAAAATATTTAAGTGACTCCATAAAATTTTTTAATTTCAGTGAATATCAATTTCGTAACGCAGAAAATAACATTCATCCTGTCAACTGGTCCCTCTGATAGCGGGACTGTTACTGAGGCAGTTACCGAGTCAGCTGACGGGCAGACACCCCCATTGCGTATGGCGCCCTCCCTCCAACGTCACTCCAACCCCCTGAACTGAGCCTCTACTGTAGTCAATCCTCTTCGCCTTTAGCCCTGAGTCTCCAGAACGGAGACCATCCTCTTTGAATGGGACGTAGGATAATCGCCGCCAAAAAATTCAGTGGACTCCATGCGTTCAGCTTCCATATCTAAAAAATATTGTTTAAAAATTTCATTAATAAAAATTGGATAAAATTAACACCTGCTACAAGGCTCATGATAATAATATAATATAAAAGGGTATAATAATAATAATATAAAAGGGGCGAGGGGGTAAAATTAACTTTTCTCAGGAATTTTCACTATTGGGAAATTTGATATATGAACAAATCCATATAAAAAACGGAATAAATGAATTTTTTTACTTACAGCAATAAATCCTTGACTCGAATATCTTCAATGTCCTCTAATGGCCTGAGCTCCTATTCCTGTTCTCCCTCGTCGGCTAAATTATCGAAAAAAATTATTGTGATAATTGAGATAAAAATGTTCTTAGGAAATTTTTTAAAGAATAATTCAACTCTCTAAAAAATAGAAAATATTTCAAATACTTGGCGCCCTTTTACCTGGAGAATCTAGGGAATTTCCCCATACGCGAAGATCTAGGAATATTATCGATGAAGTAATGTCCTCCAGACGGCGGTGGCAATGCCTAAACTTTCCCGAAGTCGTCACTCGCCCGATGCCAGTTATTGAAGACGAAGTCACTCGATAAACGCCATTTTCTGTTGTTCCTGGATATTATAACCAACACTGAAGTGTTGTGACCATCCTCCACCGCTGTGTCATGTGAATAACTCCTTGCGAACCTAAAATAAAACAAGTGACAAGTGAAAAAAGTGAATACTTGGTCGTGGATAATTCCTGAGTAATCAGTGAAAACCCTGAGGGCGATGCCCGAACACGCGACCGGGGGTGCGTCGGCGGATATGGTGAGTTACAGAGGGGGAAAAAAAAATCACTCCGGATGATATGTCATCGTCATCTGCGTCATCCACAAGTCATTAATACTATCGATAACTTGATGTCCCATTGGAAAAAAAATCCCGTGATTTTTCCATCGAAACAGACGTCGGAGTGACTCTCACACCCCCATCATCTCCGGGGGGTCAGGGGGTGGCTTGCAATAGGTGTGGCGTGCTGCTAGGGGCGGATACCGCCCGGTTATTTTTTCCCCTCAAAATCCCCTTTTTTCCGCTATAAAAAAAAAATTTTTCATCATTTTCAAAGGTAAACCGGCGGATTTACCCCTAATTTTCAGATCAGAGGGTTTGGGGGTGGATGGAGTGGAAGGGGTGGAAAGGATGGAATGGATGACAGGGGTAGAATAAGTAGAAAGGGTAGAAAGGACAGAAGGAGTGGCTGGGGGAAATTGTGTTGAAACTTCGTCCTCCAATTTCTATCTGATGGCGCAATTCCCTTCTGGAAGGCCCAACACATGTGCCACCCTGGGGGGTTATTTTTCCTCCAGTTTTTTTTGAGAATTCTCCGAGTGGGTTAGACGCCACTGCCACTCAAGAGAGTCAATTAATTATCTGGAGTTGATTGGACAAGAATTTTTATCCTAGACCTATCAATTTCGTCTAATAAAAATATTGCATTCAAAAAATGATCGATTCGAGAATAAAATGTCTTCTCACCGGGCGTTAAATCTCATATGAAATAATTCCGTTGTCATTTAAATCGCCGACATTACTACTGTATTGATTCAATCCGCATCATTCTCGATTGCGTAATAGGGATGATATAAATCTTGTAAACACGGGACTTCTCATTCCCTCGTTGAATTTTATTGCGATGTCTGTCACGCATGACACACGGATAAACGTGAATTTATTATTACCCGCAGGTACTTGAAGCTCCCGCGAATTATCACCGCCCCAGTGTTAAATCACGACAATTGTTCGTTTATTCCTCGTCATGACGTGACGTTAAAATTTTTTTTTTCCGTTTCAGAGGCATTTTATTTCTCATCGTGAAAATAAAATAATAATTCGACGTAGGGGAGCTGCCGGTCAACTGTACTTCATTACCCTAGTGCACCCCATTGCACCCCATTGCACCCGGACAATTTACAGGTCTCGAATTTCGCCCTGAGTATCATTTTCCTGCCCTCACTCTTCAGAGAAGCCTCGGGGCAATCTCGGATTATCATCATCCACGGTTTTATTTCCACTTGAAAAAAAAAAACCGCACGCTAAATATCACACCTCGATCGTTACAGCAAGATCTCGTCACAATTTCGGGTTTTATCTGCGGTGAGTGAGTTTTTGGGTCACTGGAACGAATGGACGGAGAAAAATTCTTCGACTCCACAGCTTGCTCATTCATTCAACGACCTTGAGGGTCTGATAACAGACTTGTTCATTAATATCGCATTATGATACAGTTTGTTTGCATGCGTTCAACATGACGTGGACTCTGCAATAGATTACAAGACTCTAAGTTATAAAATCTGTCAATTCACTAATTGCAACTCCACCATACTTTTATAAATATTTATAATCCAAAAATGTCCTGGAGCTCGTGATTAAAAACAATTTTGGATAGTCCAATGACTGTTTGTAAATTTCTACTAGTGAAAACCACTTTTTTTTTTCTCTCTGTTTCCTTTTGAATGGACGTAATTGTTTTTATCCTTTTCAGTTGAAAAAATAGACCCCTGACACACAATATCGAGTTTACTGATCAGTGAAGGTACTGGGTAATGGCAATTCCAGTTGTAACTGATTCTCCGTTGAATTTTCACGGTAAAATACCGAGAGACTGAATGAAAACGTTGATATCTAACTCCTTGGTACGTTCCTTCATCTCTTAGTTAACGTGAGGTATGGAGATTGTTATTGTTGAGATGAGATGACATTTAGAGATATTTTTACAGACTATTTTCATCAGACACTCGCTGAAAAGGTTTTGCCTCCCGGCGGTATCGTTTAACCGTGAATAACTTACGTGTCGACGTTTCATATTTCTCGAGTGTACAATAGTAACCGGAGAAAAATAAAATCGCCTACTTTGTTTTCACCGTCTCAGGGAAATTCAATGCACGCCTGGGATACGTTTTGCTTGAAAATGTCACTGGGAAGCACTTGAATGCCACACGGAGATGAAGCCCTCGAATATTTATCACCAGCTCAGACCCAATTATGCAAATACAACGGGCAAATCCCGTGTTTATTCTTTGCATTAACGTCTCACAATCGACAGGATAATCCAGATGCTGATAAACACACGGATCTCAATTCTTTTTTATTTCAAGACCCTCCGGGCCTCTGATATTCCACTCACCATAAATTCTCAATGAATATCTCGAGAATTAATAGAGATATCAATATTTTCGCCTGAACTCTTTTTGTGGAGCCAATTCAGCATTTAAAAAATGGTTATCACGAGTATTTTGGTAACTCTCTTGGATTCTGAGATATATCACGAAAACTCGTGTGAAATTTTTCTCAACAATTTCCCTCGGTGTAAAAATATTCATCTCCACCTGCATCCACTCGAGAGTGGAATTTTTTTTTTATAGCGCAGTGAAATGAGGACGGGCTGTATTTATTCTCTTGCAGACTAGTTTCCACGACAATGTTCGCCTGATACACCTCTCATTTTTTATAGCAACACCGAGGTCGACGTCTCTTCATAACAGCATGACGAATGTTACTCGATATCCGAGGGATTCTGACGTGTCAGAGTGAGAGACAAGTGTCACTGACGGGTTTCCGAGTTTAACTATAAAATATCAACGAATTGAAAAATAAAAATTGATGCACCGTTGAATTATAGCGAGGAAGGATGATTGTGACAGATGATTCTTCTCAATTTCTTCTCAATTTCCTCTCAATTTCCTCTCAATTTCCTTTCGCCTATCTTTCACCTATCTTTCTTAACGATCTCTTATTGAACTCTCGCATGCACCAGTCGCATTCGCGTGACACAGAAACCGGAAATGGCAAAAAAAAAACAAGTCCTCGGAGTAGGATTGAACTTGATAGTATTGACTTGATCAACTAGTCGGGGTTTTGCACTGTTAATCAAGAGGCTATGGGCTGAGCACTCACTTTTTCCTAAGTTTTTCATTATCTCTAGTCAGCATCCACTCGAATCGATCCTGTTATCCAACCCAGATAACCGGGTTGCAAACTACAATCAGCTGAAATTACCGTGGAGCCTCCAAAGCCCCATATCTTCCGACTCAGCGATGGGAGTTTGAAAACTCTGGTCTCATTTTAAACCCCGATGAAATGCCTCCAAAACGAAGAAACAAAATTGAAATTCCCCTCAGCCAATTTCGAGTTATCGGCAATTGAAATCGGTCGATTCTTTTGCGCCTTTTTTTTCTTCAATTGACACAATTGAAATGATTTTATTTGCGCCCCTATTTGATCCCTTCAATTTCGTCCAACTTTTTATTTGTTCTAGGGCAAATTGACTTTTTATTTCAACTTTTTTATTCTATTGGATCCGGCCAGAGAATAGCATGAAAAAATCGAGAAATTCTCGCTTGCGGCTCTCGCATGATTGAATTTGTTTGCATTTAGAAGAATGGTGATATGAAACTGGTGACTCAGAGACCACGAGGGTGATTTTTCCAACGCGCCTGCCAACCGGCCTCGTCCAACCCTCCAGGCTTGTCGGTTTGATCAATATTTTGCAAACACTCTACTACTACGTGATACTCGCCGAATTTCAACCGATATAAAAGGCTATTCCCTATTTCTTTTGGAGCATTCCCAAGCCAGAGCTGTCCCTTTTGTCTCCAACTACGTCCTCTCAAATTGGAGTATTGATTGCGATGGTCTAGAGCCTGATATAGATGACAATCTATTTTTTATCGTCTGACGGATGTCACCCCTTCCTGTGACCTCTCACCAAATAAAATAAAGATCATCCCGATTTTAACTTGTCTCAAGGTCTCGTTTAAATAAATTATCTTCAATATTTTTCTTCATAATTCACTGGCAATCTGATGTTTTGGTACAGATTTCGAGCTCGATGCTGGTTACATCCGTTTCCATGCCTTCAAATACCCGGATCAACTTCCGGACGATAAACTGGAAGAGTGAGGGATATGCGGAGGGAAATATTGAAGGAGAGGGCCCTCACCCGGAGTTTAAACTATCCGCTGACTCACATCCCATGGAGTCCCTCATCTATTCCCACGTATCAAATTTTTTAAAAACTCCAGTTGACATTTGGAGCACGCGATTTTCTTAATTTTTGATGGGTTCGGGTCACTGGACACACCGAATACCCACTGGACTCTTTTTATTCTCGGCTCTGGTACCATATGGCCCCCATGTGCTGACATGCGTTAACACGAAATATACACACGAAATATACACACGTACTTTCCCCGGTTGCTTCTGGCTCCACATTGGACAACGAAATATGGCAGAATTTAGCTGGGAAATAATTCCCCCGAGTGCACTCATCTCTCAGAGAAGTGGAAATGTCTCGTGTGTGATGAGTTTCAAGCGGGAAAGGTTTTTACTCGAGTATAAAACATTTTTTACTCACCATCTCCAGCTCCGCGGATCCTCTTCGACGTTCATCTCGAGTGGTCTGCCCTTTTTTTGGTCTGTAAAAAATTATCAAATTGTAATAATCGAAGAGACAATTTTACGAGTATCTTCTTTATTCTACTTATTTTTTATTTATGAGAATAACACCTCTGAGGCAGGGAAGATGAGAAGGTGAGGACATGAGGAGATGAGGGATGTTGAAGCTAGAGGAGTGGTAGATTTTTGAAATTACGAGACGGCTTTCATGCATCGGGCGGAACAGATAACCCCTCAAGTGTTCTCATTGTTTCGATTCACCGAGGATTCATAAAGGTTCATAGCTTGCCTCGCGGCATAAAACGCGTGGGAGAGTGCATTATATATAACCCCTAAGATGTCGAGGTCTCGGTCTAAACGCACAGGCCAACACACTTTAATATTATTATTCATCGAAAACAATATACCTGAAAAGTGCCTGAGAGAATCAGTCATTTCCCACCAATCAAGGAGCGATAATTCTCCAATGAACGCCTGTTGAACGCCTGTTCACGTCGATAGAGTGACTCACACTTCCCTTTTACTTCGATCCAGGGGTAGAATACCGTGGGAGTGCCTGATAAATCATGACAACTGAGTTATCACTTCAATCTGTGCGCGAGTACAGTTACGAAACTCCTCGGGCTGAATAAAAAAAAAATTATCAGCATCTCGTTGGATGTGAGTTATAGGATCCGTAGTAACGAGATCATCCTAGTTATCCTTGGGCTCATCCCTCTGCAAGTGCGAGGTCCTGATGGTAGCTATCGATAGATAATCCGAGCCTGAAACAATAAAAATATTTCATGAGCAAAATATATCTTTGATTTACAAAAAAATCTACATTCACCTGATGATATTTCATTGTTAACTTGAATTTTAGTTTAAAAAAAAATTATAATCAGAATAACGATTTTTTAAATTTATTTAAGAGATTGTTTTTCTCGGTGTAAATTTAATATCGTAATTATGGAAAAATAAAATGCAAAGTCCTTCGTTTTTCCAACCATCGGCTGGTGTAACCTATTACCCCTCTTTCACGCTTCGTGCAGGTGCAAGTTGCCTGTTTACCTTCTTACAAGCGAGAGAAAAAAAATATGATAAAACATCTCGGCAGGGTATACCCTGACTGAGAATGCTAATTAGACCGAGGGGTAATGGGTGGGTAATACCTTTAACGGGTGAGTCGATGACCAGAGTTTCAGTGAATGACCCTGACTAATTTCTCTTTTTCCATAAATCTTTCCCACGGGTTATTTCAATTTCTCTATTTTTTTTCGCCATTCTCTGGTGGTCGGCCTTGTCGCAATAATCCATAGCTGAGGAGCCAATTGGGGGCAATGGGATTACATGGAAACTGGAGTAATCACCGGGAATTGAATCGAGAAGAGCCACTGGTCGTACTAAATTCTCACCGTCGACGAGTCAAAAATTAAGGGGAGAATATTTAACGATAAGATTATTACAAATTTTAATTTATCGGGGAGCTCTGGGCTCGTTTAATCTTCTCAACGCGAGATCTCTCAGGAGTTGTGAGCCAGTCGGTGGAGATAGTCGACGGATCAATCGTCTGTGAAGTTTACGGGCAAACGGTAGTTCAAGTCTCTCCGCGATAAAAAAAAGAAAACTAGTCGAATGTCTTCCTGGAATAATTCCTCAGAGATTGCTACTTTGGATTCTCGGATGCGGAACGAACAGTGTGACGCATTTTAATCAGTTTCACTTCCGGATTCCACAGTTGCACAGTCCTGTGACTTCAGTCGGCAATTTTCTTTATTATTGCAATGATTTATTGACGAGAATTTATTATTGGTGATTATTTTTTCCGAATTTCAACCAGTAGAATTCCACCGTTCGACGAGGCTATTCGATATTATACTGAATATTTTTCGAATATTTTGTCTCTTATTTATATTTTTAAAAAATAAAATAAAATAAAAACCTGGTGGATCGTGTTAATCGCTGATTGAAATTGAAGATTGAATTTCATTGTGTTACACATCGAGTGAAATATCTTTTCTCATCTTTTCAAATCTCTTTTTTTAGTTGAAATTTTTTTTTCAATTTTTGAATATAGATTTCGTCTTTGGTGCAGTTCTATCGAGGGAAATTGAAACGAAGTAAATAATCCCCCGAATCCTACTCGTTCCAGAATTTTTTTCTGGAGTGTCCAATGATTTCGAAGCTCTCGTATTATAAGTGAAAATAATTGGTATTCGATACTGGATAATATTTGAGATGGCAATAAAAATAAATAAATTTATGTTTGCAGTTGTCAATAGGTTCCGAGCGGTGAGTGGATCTTGTGGTACTGCCTCGAGTGATTCTTCATCACTCGGCTGAAAGCTCATCCCCAAGATGCCACTACCAAAGAGACTGGTTGAACCAGTGCACGTTGCACGTGGTACAATACCAGAGTCATTTCCACTGCCATCAGAGCTAGAGGCTGCGACAAATGGCACACTTGCTAATACCATAAGGCAGCTGTCGAGTTTATCACGACACGCTGAGGATTTATTTGGTGAATTGGCGAGGGAGGCGCACACACTAAGTGATCGTGCTAATTCATTACAGGCGAGAATAGACAGACTGGCTGTTAAAGTTACACAGCTGGACAGTAATGTCGAGGAAGGTGGGTTGGTGTAACGAGAATAGCATTCGTGGGAATTATTTATTCTTTCAGTCTAACTCTTTGATATTTTTCACTTGCAGTTTCACTTCAGGATATTCACATGAGGAAGGCATTCAAGAGTTCAGTCGTTTTTGATCAGCAAGTAGTTTCCAGGGATACTATGCCCACTGCTATGCTTGAGACTTATCAGCAGTGCGACACACCTCCACCACTTGATAAACTCAATGTCTACAGGTAGATTTTTACGTTTTTATAATGTTTGAGGATTGTAAAGCGACGCCGATGGAGTGCACATTTTCTAACTGAGCAATTATCGATTTATCTGGGGACCTATTGACTTGAGGGGGAAATGCCAAATGAATTTTTTGTAGCTAATTAAATTTCCGATCAAAAATCTCTTTTCCTATTTTTGACTGAAATCGATGGTTTTCCAGATATGTATTTTTGAATGATTTCTTCTAATATTTAATTTCGTTTCTTTCTTTTCTTTTTCAATTCATCTAATCCAGGGAGGATGGAAAGGACGGCTTGAAGTTTTACACTGATCCAAATTACTTCTTCGACCTGTGGAGTCAAGAAATGCTCAAGGATACAGAGAAAAAGCTCCATGACAGAGGAAAAAAGGTATGAGCTGTTTCCACCCATAAATTATTCATGCACACCGTAACGTGTGGAAGAACGAGGCTTTTTTTTTCATCTTCTGTTTATGAGATTATTCTCACGTGAATAATTCTAACTGTCGAAAATTGTCCCCTTGGTTATAGACCGAGTCTGAATATGCCGAACCGTTCAGAGAGGCAAGTCGATGGTTTGGATCTTTGTAGATTCTTTGTGATTATTGATTTTTTCATATCCCTCTGTTACTTTTATCCAATCATCGATATTTATACGTTTTAATCACCGTTCACTCACTGCATAATTCAATTGACTCACATTCTGTGTGGATTTTTCTATCATTAACGAATATTGAAGTTGAAATTTTCTATCTGTGCTGTTAGAATTGAATTAGATGCTCGCTTGAATAATCTCCAGTAGTTATTCTTTGCTAGGAATAGAAGACGAATTTTTATCCCTACATCATCGTCATCAATTTAAAATGATCATCGATTCACGAATCATATCATCGAGCATTTATATTTGTCCTAAGCACAAAGATCATTAAAAAATTGTGTCAAATTCATTAGTAAAGAGGTAAGAGGTAACGAATCGAGTTGTTCCCTAGTCTTTGAGGAATATCTCTGAATCCAAGAGAGATAATAAAATCTATGGTAAAATCATTTTTGTAGAGTAGATTGATATCTACGGAAAAGGTCTCAGTGAAAAATGAAGTAGATCTGGTAGATTTCGAGGAATTCTTCGAGACCTTACCTATTGCCTACTGAATGAATTCCTTTTGTTTTTCAAAATTGAATTAATCAACTCTGGCTTGCGATGCACCCGCAAAACCCAGTATTCAACAAGTTTAATGATCATTGTCTATCGTGGTGCAGCCTCACAGGCCTCGGAACGATGGAGGGGGTGGTGGAGGTGGTCGACACAAGAAACGTGTAAGACAACCCCACAACACGAGAGAGAGACAGCGACAATTGGCTGTTGGTCATGGCGAGTACATAATGCCAACTCAAGGGGTTCAGTATCGAACGCCCCATAATATTCCAGATGAATCATTATTGGGAATGGTAATGACAGATCCTAGACCACCTAGACCCAACAGTATCGAGTTGAGGAGGAGTTATCCAGCGGAGGAACAGAATTTGTACAGTCCACCAACAGCTGGTGATCATTACAGGTAATTATTTCCACCTGAATGAAGAATTACGTGAATTTATGGAGAATTATCTCTAAATTTATATTAACAATTGATTAACAATTGCAGATCGACAAATTATTCAGCCCAGGGTTACGATGACAGTAGCCTGTACAGTTCTCACTATGCCCCAGGGTCAGGTCAACCAGGAAGTGAGACATACCAATCACCAGGTCAAAGTACACCAAGCAGAGGTGGAAGATCACGACCGTCCCAGCCACCCCCAGCTCCACCGAGCAATGCCTCAAGCAATTCAACTCCAACAATAGCATCGGCAAACAACACACCCACACGTGGTAGATCAATGAGCACTGGAAGAGATACACTTCCACCACCTCCACCACCACCTGGTGAAGTGATGTCACCACCACCAATGAATGGTACAATACCAGGACATTTGCTTAATAGAAATGGCAGCCGTTCCAACAGTCCATTACCGAGTCACCATTCAACACCAACACCACCTAATCATGGAATACCAATGGGTGTCGATGAACCAGATCCAGCACCACAGGATTTACCACCACCTCCACCCACACCTGATCCAATACCCATCAGGCCTATATCACCACCTTGTAACATTCCACCACCTCCACCACCACCACCACCGCCTCCAGTTGTTAACGGACCGATTCAACCAATTGCACTGACCAATGGTGATATTGCCAAGATGATTGCCACAAATCCACCGAAATTACGACCTGTTAAAAATATCATCGATGGACAGATCAAGAAACCACCGAATGCTAATATTCCGATTGTCGATCCAAGGAATGATCTCCTCAAGGCCATCAGAGATGGTGAGTTATTCTCTTCTTTTTTTTTTTTGACACATTTGTTATCATTTGATTGATAAGTGGATTTTTTTGGAAGCCAATTTTTGGTCAATATCTCGGAACTGAAGGAACATAGATAATTTTTTGCATGAGTATTTTTTACAGAGAAAGATGAGAGCTATAAAAAAGGTATTCACCAAAAAGTCGTTGTCTGCTTTAATTTTTGAGATATTGGTGATAAACTGGCCTCGAAAAAAATGCACACACAGACAAGAAAAAGAAATACTAACCTTTTTGTCCTTTTAGGAATAAAACTGCGAAAGGTGGAGAAAATTGAGCAGAAAGAGGTGGAACGTGTGAATGCCCTGAATGACGTGGCGTCGATACTGGCACGACGTGTTGCTGTTGAATTCAGTGACAGCGATTCAGCGTCAGAGAGCGAATGTGACAGCGAGGGATGGGGTGAGCAGGACTCGAGTTTAGCGTGACCCGTGTCGTATCCGCCAACCGCATCTGTCTCGTAAACTGTCACAACAATGTTTGATTAGAAATAGCAGAAGTGAACGAATTTGATGGACACTGTTGAGAGTTTCTATCAAAAATTTTCCACAAAGAAACTTCACCACTTTCCGTGAATTTCATGTCTTGGAGATTTATGATAAAAACTTTCAACAGTCGAGTGTCTTTAATTTAATGCGCACATAATTGTATCCTTAACTCAATAACTGTTCTGAAAGCGCAAAGTACATTCCGCGAGTACTATTATTAAATAAGAGAGGAGGAATTATAGCAGATCTATTCAATACAGGTGAGTGCTGTCTCGTAATATATTAACAAAGTTTAAAAAGAAATTTCACTTGACTCTTCCTCGAATATCCAGATAAATGAGGAAGTGAAAATACGATCATTATAAAAATACTCCAGTATCATATAAGCTGAATTAATTGATAAATTCGCAAGTCCATGTGAATTTAAAATAAAAAGATCTTCGTAATTTCTTCCATTGGAGTGCGGAAAAAAAAAAGATAACAATTGTGATTTATTTTTCATCATAATCGATTGAATGAGACAAACAAAAAAAAAATCTATAAAGATATGTAAACATATATTGATTGTTAAGGTAACGCATAGACTTATGTGTTCTGTGGGATATGATCAATTTAAATGTGAATTCGATGCTGTTTTACAAGAAATGTTTAATTGGTAAATATTTGATGCTTGTTAATATAATCTAAAGCTGCACGTGAATCGATTAAATTGATTAATTATAAATTTTAATCCTCACTAATACCCAACCCTGTATAAAATGCTAGGGAGAGGAAATATTTCTTCATCAACGACGAGTGTAAATTTATTAATTATAATTAGCTAAGGGTTAGTGTATGGGCAAGCCCTAGGAAACCAATAAAACCGATGATTCTCTAATGTAACATGTTTATACATATTATATGAAAAACATCTAATAGAAGATAAAATGATTTTAAGACGATTTTAGGATCTAAAGTTCTTTCCGCCAACTACAACACAGTATTTATCTCGTAATATTCAAATATCAAGTCCCCAATTTCCATTGATAATTGTGGTAACGAGACGAGACGATAAAACACCGAGAGAATGTACCCAGAATTATGTAAATTCAGCCAAGTATTAAAGCAATTATGTTCATTATCCACAGAGAATGGCTATGATTAATAATTAACCAGAGGTGGTGAATACTGCATGTGTAAATTAACAGAATTAATATTCCGATTGAGATAGTTGGTGTACACTAACTGGCCCACGTGAAATAAAAAAAAATTAATTGGCCATCAGAGCGAGTGAAAATCGGTGGGGGCTTTGAATTTCAAATAATAATTAATGTAATTGTATTAATGGATACTGAAATTTGTAGTAAAAAAAAAACGAAGAGGAACACTGTACAGAGCCAAATAAAATCAAAAAATTTCATAAATTATGGAAAACGTGGCATTTTTATTAATTAAAAATCCACCAGAAAGAATGAGATAATAAAAACGTAATGAGTGGAAATGGAAATTGTAAAGGCAGTGAAAATGTTTCCTTTCCAGCAAAGATACAATCCGGGGAAATAGCCGTCCCCTCGAGATTTTCCAAATGAAATAAAAAGAAAAAAATATAAGGAAACGAATGCAGATAGTGCGATTCAAAATCGTATGCCACAGGCGTTTACGATATCCCCGGGGCCTGGATATAGCCGCAATTTATATCTCCTTCCAGCCTGTGGAATCGGATAAAGCGGTTCTGTGTTATCACACACATATTCCCTCGATTCACCACTGGTTAGCAGCGGGAATGTGGGTTTACCAGTCCTCTCAATGATACACACCAACTGGTTTATTAAATTCCCCTGTATTCACAAAACCGCAACAGAATTTTCGAGGGATAAACTCCGGGTATACACTGGGCTTTACCCCTCTCAAGTGCAATAAAACTCAAATGCAAGTTGTGGCTCTTTTAAGTTCTATATCATTTCAAGTTTTTACGAAATCAAGTGGAAATTTTCTTTTCATATCTGCCTTTTAAAATTATCTCAAACTCACTGTTTCTTCTGTTGTCAGCCTAATTTTTATTTCATAGCCTTAATTATTACTAATCAATGCAATTAATGATTAATTGATAAGCCCCGGGATGTGTCTAGTAAAATTATTGACATGACGCAATTGAATTTGTTATTTGATTTATGAATGTCTGTAAAGTTTTGTGCAAATATTCATGTGATGTATCAGCGTCATTATGCACTATCTTGCCACTTTGCGAGTTTACTTATTGATTTATTCACTTGGGAAATGCATTGGCTTATCAGTGATTGCACATACACTTTGTCGTTGATATTTTATCAGTGAATTACTCAACAGGCCGCGGGTTGATGCTGCATCATCGCAACTAGGACGAGCATCAAAGTTCAATAGCTTGGAAATAGCGAAAAAAAAAAATTGTTTTGTTAACCAGATTGCATAGGAAATTGAAGCGCGTTATTTCAATGGATTATAATTTTTCCCAAAGCACTTGATCTGAGATTCGCTTGTTGAACATTAAACATAAAAACCGACAAATAATTATATAACTGGAGGGAGTAAATCGAATCATTGGCCATTTTCATTACATTTTTTCTACTTTTTTATTCCACTTCCACTTTGATTATGCAGTAAATGTAATGATAGTTTGCGTCGGCTGAACGAATGGAGGAAAAAACGTATTGAAAAAGTAGAATTGTCTCGAAAGCCCTGAGTTTTTTTCACACTGGATGAAAAAACTCGATGGAATTGAGTCTAGATTGTAGACGGTAGGAAAAATGTATGAAATATGAAATATTTATATGGCAAATATTGACCGCGTAATATTCAGTATTTTATTTAGTGTACTCTAGTAAGTCTAGATCCATCATAAATGGAGAGGATCCCGAGCTGACATGCTCTGGGCTGTCTGGTGTGTTTGAAACTTTTACCAGAGTGGAATGAGTAATTTTGTGCAAAATCTTGGTTACTTTCCCAGATAGTGCATGGCTCAAGGGCTGAAGACAGGAAGTATAAAATACCCGAGGGGTTGGTGAGGGGTGCGCATCTGTGGAATTTCTCGATATCCCCAGCCGTTGCCCTCAAGCATTCTGGATAATATTCAAATTTCCCTTCGCTGAGGAGAGTTTTAATGAAATCCACGGGTGCCAACGCCGAGGGATACATCACCGACTCTTCACCAGGAGCTCACACCCATTCAATCGATAAAACTCAATCCAATACCAAATGATAAGTGCGTATTTACTTGTATGAAGAAACTCATAAAATTGCACTGAGAGAAAAAAACTTCAGTCACGAGATTTTGTGAAACGACTTCTTTGAAAAATTTCTAGTCATGAGTTATAGATTGGAATATTTTGGATTTGAGAAACCTTGTGAGGAAATTCTATTATTATATCCAATTATGAATTGTCATCAGCTTTGGAACGAGTTGATAATTTTTTGACAGAAGATTTTCTTGATGAATTTTTATAGATTGAATAAAATTTCTTTTCTCAGGACTGAAAAACGTAGGACTTGGATAATTCCATCAGAATAAATCGAAAAAGATGGAATAAATGGAATAAAATTCGGCAGAAGTTTCCCCCCTTCCCCACTTGTGTATTTTTGGAATAAAGCGACCAAGTGAAGTCACGTAATGGCATGTTCCCTTTCTTCTTGAATAAAGTTTAGTCCCTGAAATTCCGGTAGCGTCAAACTCCCGTCGACAAACTCTCGGTCGACGACAGAGATATCAGAGAAAAACTTTTCTCTTTCACCCCGCACCACCCACAACCCATCTCTCCACAACACCCAACCTCTCCAGCGGCTTTAACTCACTAGATATACCTGTACATAGGCATTGTCCCTGGACTGCGAGGACACGCTTCAACTCACCAACCCGATGGGGCCATTCTCCCATAGCCCCCCAACTCAATTGAGTTTTACCGTTCAATTATATTACCTCTCCTCCCCATCGATTAGCTTCGCGTGAGGGTGGATACTCGACTTATGGATGAAAATATCATATCAGTAAATTTCATTCTTCTCCAATTGTCTCGGATAAGCGGATTATATTGTCATTATTAATCTGGACTATTGAAAATATTTAAAGCGAGTATTAGTTTTCGCGACAAAACGGATTATTCCCAAAATTACACCGGATTGTTGTTTAATTCCTCTAATAATAAATTTATATTTTGAATACTTTTATCATAAAATAATGAAAGAATATAGAATTTCATAAAGTTTCGTATTCAATAGCTTAAGGCATTGAAATAATTATTTATGTGGGGAAAAATCATTGACAAACTTTTTCAGGTCCTTGAAAATAATAAATTATTATCAATAGGTAACCACTGAGTTAATGGATATTTGAACGGTAGTGTAATAGCGATATTAAGGCATTTTAATTGGCGTAATCGTGAGTTTATATCCCCCATTACCCAACATCTCGGATTAAACATCGATACGATCGTCAAAGGCCACACAAGACTCGTCACATGATAACGGTGCGTGGCTGGAGCTCCAGTTCACTTAACAGTCAACGTAAACTGGTAAAACTGCAGATACAGAATAAAAAAAAAGAGGCTGAACCGATCGAGACGGCTGACTTCAGCACTTCTCGTTGAGCCGTTTATCCGGACGGTACCTCAGGGCGCGAGTCCACTCTAATTTTTCATTCATCAACAGATTTATCCGAGTTTAATTAATCGTGAGAGTCGTGGTAATTTGATAATGCCACTGTTCAAGAAACTGCGCATGTTCTCCCGCCACAAAAGTGAGTATCAAGTGATAATAATTTATTATTTAATCATTTACCACGTCTTGTCAATGACGTTCTGTCATTGCATCATGCACCTATCAGGAACTCAGGCCCTTCGGGACCCGTTTTAAAAATTATCAGGGACTGAAAAATCCCTATCGACGAACCTGACAATTAGTCGTGGTACGGTTCAAGGAAAGTAACGAAATGAATTAATAAACATTTTATCGTCGCGTAATTATTGCCGGAGCAGAAACTACTTTCACGGGGTTGCGTCATGTGTAACGAGTAGGTTGATTATTTGTCGTGCTCATTGTGTATTTTTTGTTAAATCGAGCCTTCTATTAGCATATTAAATTTCTCGTACTCCCAGTGGCAAAAAAAGTGAGAAAGTTCGCGTGTGTTTTATTGGTTTTTCGCGGATATCTCGGTATCCAATGAAGACTCGAATTTTTTGGTTGGGACATTTTTTGCGGTGTACACCGAGATCTCGAAAAAAGGTTCAACAAAAATTTCGTTATCTCCCACAAGTCCGGAGGTACCCGCGGAAATGTCATTTATTTTCACGGAATATCAAGAAAAATATGTCAGGTTTTGTCTCCTTCAAGTGACTTTTCTCGATTCTGTCTGCGAGAGTAACTGGGTTTTTCAGTTTGAAATGTCTCCATCGACAGCTGTCGAGGACAGGACCAACCACTAGGATAAAATGTATATAAACACTCTGAATTTTCCCCCGCCCCATCCCACCGAGTTTTCGCGTGTTGGAAAATTTAATTTTCCCCACTGTTTCTCTCAGCTCTATTACTGTATTTATCAGGGGGTCCAGCCCGAGACGATCATTATTTCCCCTGGCCCAAAAGAAAAATAAAGAAATTAAATTAAATGTATTGGTCCTGATTTCTTTTTTTCTATTTTCCTCGTTAACTTCCGATTGCACTATTCTCATCGTCCACTAACTCTCATTTCTCCTCTGCTTTTTGGATTATTTTCTTTTCTCGTTTTTATTCAACTGATAAAGCGGATTTAGGAGTGTGAGCCCGCAGTGCTCTCAAAGTATCGTTAACCTTTTATCCCGGAGAGGGTGTGGTGGGACGAGATAAAGTGCAGAATCCATTTGACACTAGCTTCACTCCTATTTTATCCTATTAT